TGTAAAGAAATGCCAGATAAATTATGCCTGGCCAGGATTCAAACAGATTATAAGGCTTAATGCCTAATCAGTTTGTATCCTAGGAGCTTGTTCACCATGGTTGGCTAAGAGCTGGCTCAAATCCTGCTGGACACACTTTTTCATTTACATTTTCTGGGCTTGACTCCTTATTAATGCAGTTTTATTTTAAAAATTCTTTTGGTGGGGTCAGTAAGGCACAAAATGCTTCTATGCTTTCTTTGTGGTTATGAAAATGACACTGGTTCTATTTTAAAATTTAATTTTCTTGTTAACCATCACTTTTCAACCTTTTGTCTTGTTAAGTATTACCAGGTAAAAAAATATTTTTCTTTTCAAACTCCTTACATTATTTACATTCAGACTATTATCCTCATCTTTGTTGTTCTTATTACAATGTTTCTGCTGTTATACCCTCTGAGGAGGTGGGGGTCTTTACCAGGTGCTTGTCAATCCAGATAACCTTCAGGGGATTTCAAACTGAATCCTTTATTTAATCTGAGGAAGGGATGGATTGTTTTGTTCCATTATCCATGTCTAGGGATATCTCATCTTATTTTAGTACTGCTCAGTTATTGGTCACCATGTTTCCATTGAGGCTCAGTCTGCACTACCTGACCAAAGGATTGAACACATAATTGCTGTGTCATTAAATTCATGAACCAATGCTTTAATCCATTAGGCTATTGTCCTGTGGGATTGACAATCATCTGAAGAAGGCCAGAGAATACAACAACCAAAATGTTGTGATAATAACAAAGATGAAGATAACTCAAAATGTTCAAAATTCTTCATCACAGAAATTATGATTAGTTGATCAAATTTACTTTTAATTGTAATGTTAAAGTTTTGACTTTAATTTATAAAAACATGATCCTGAAGTAACTTTGCACGTTACCCTGTTTTATATCATAAAACAAGTTTTATAAGTGCTTTAGTTAAATCATGGCCAGCAATATTAATGGCTTGCTACATCTAGCAAAAAAATCCTGAAATGTGTTAAAATAATTGACTCCATGTTACCTGTGTTAATCTAGCTGTTTTAGAAAATGATTCAATGTGAATGCAGTCTTTTTGCAAAGTCATTTAACAATTTTGCATAACATTGAACTTAGACAATCCATTTGCAAGGTGGTTAAAGAATGTTATAACTTCCAACTTGAACGGGTCTTAAAATTGTTGGACAAGTCTAGAGTTTTTTTAATTGTTACTAAAATTATCCTACTTGACTGTTGTTTTAAGGAACTTCTTTAGTATAATGTGTTAACTATTTGACAGAGAAAAGAATTTATTTGGATTACTTCTAACATGAATTGAACATTTAAAACTTAACTTAGAATGAAACCTGTGTTTATTTTTGGATAATATAAAACTAAATAGACATGGTTTTTATTATATATTTACAATGTTTATACATTAATTACTTATTGAGCCTATTTCTCTTGACAATTATTATATAATGCAAAATATCTAATCTCTAAATTCTTACAGAAAAGCTGATGACTTTGTTCATCAAACCATGCTGTCACAAAACCTTGAATCTGTGAACTCTGTAAAATCTGCACAATGTTTTAATCTATTTTTGTTTGTTTTTGGTCTTGGAATCTACAAGGACTGATCAAAAAAAATATCTAGACTGTTGGTATGGTAATGGAGCGAAAGTATGCAGTGTAAAGCTGTTTGGCACAGATTGACTTTAAACTCTGTCATACATACACACTAAGTTATAACATTTTCACTCACTTCTATTGTTTATAGCAGTGCTTGGAAGGAAAGTGTGTAGAGTGTGGTTGTCTCACCATATTACAGGTTCCATCAGTGACCATGGCTTGTGCAGAAGTTCCTAACTTCAACAATCACCATATTCCTCAGAACTAACCCTTTGGGACTTTTTCCTCTTCAAAAATCAAATCCCACTTGAAAGGCACAAGATTTTTTAAACATTGAAGAAATCCAAGACAATGTGAATGAGGCAGCTGCTTTTTATCCCCAAAATGCTTCCATCAATGGAAATAATGCTGGATAAAGTGTGTGGTTTCAGGAAGTGGACTACTTTGAAGGAGATTAAATGCAGAATTGATATGTGTTGTAGTTTTCTTTTTATGGCACCAGTTCTGATATTTTTTGATCAGACCTTGTACAAGGGAAAATTTTAGTCTGTGGGATTTTTTAAATGGGAATTGTGCTAAATGCTATGGAAGTTTAGTTTTCATGATACAAATTAAAGAATGTTGCTTGATTTTAAAAAAAAAAAAAAAAAAATGTAGATCATATGATTGCTTTGCTTTTTCACCAGCATTATTGTAAGTGATCCTCATGGATTTTGAAATAAGGCTTCTTTTTTTATTTTCTTTTTTTTTAATGTGATACCATGTAATCATTGACCAGAGATGAAGATTCGCATTATTGTACAATATTCATATTTTCTGTCTGAATTTCTGGAATAAATGGAATGGAGTTATTATTTACACTATTTTGTATGTAGACTATTGTCCTTTTTTTTTTTTTTTTTTTGTTGCTGTCACATCTGTTTCATCTGATGTTCCCTCTGGCTTTCATCAAGACAATAGCCTAGTGGATTAAAGTGTTGGTTCAAGAATTTGGTGTCATAGTAAATGTGAGTTCAATCCATAGACTGGACAGTGTATACTTAGACTGAGTGGAAACACAGCAAGTAATAACTGAGCAGTACCAAAAATAAGAACTAGATGATCTCTCTCTCTCTACATATATATATATATATATATATATATATATATATATATATATAGGCAGTGGAACAAGAACAGTCTACCTCGGTAGGCTAAATAGAGGATTCAGTTTAGAATTCCCTGTAGGTTACCAGGATTGACAATAGATGAAACATTGAGATAAGAACAAAAATGAGGACAACAGCATGTAAATAGTGTAAATTTTCATAATTTTCTTTTATAAATTTATAATTGTAGAGTAATTGGCCATGATTAAGTGTAATTGACAGAAATGCCCAACAAACAGAATTGACAGTTTCCAATAAACGATAAAAGAAAAAGAACAGGGCAAAATAAGGCTAAACAAACAACATATATGCAAACCAAAATTAGGTAAAGCAGCAGTAACAGGACAAAAATTTCACAAAATAGGAATGATGTTGACATGCAAAAGGGATACAGACTAATGACTATCATTTTGACTTCAAGGCAAGAAAGAACAAAAGATATAGCAGATAAGACCAAGAAGTGGTCTGTTTTATTGGGTAGAAAGAAACAGCAATATGCATCTGTACATTTAGACTATAAATTTGGAGAGGGGGGGACAATTTTCTACAAGAATCGGAACTGACAATGAAAGACAAAGACTTTTTACAAAAAAATTTTTTTTTTTTTTAAATTTAACAAGTTATTCAGTGTTGTATTTTTGTTTTCTTTAGTTTTGGCTTGTCATATCTGCATGTTCTAATGTCTAGGTTTGGAATGTATTGGTTGTCTGTCCAACAGTCTAAAAAATTGTTCATCTTTCTATCATAGCAAATAGAAGAGGCTGAAGATGAAGATCCTAGGCAAGTTACAACAAAGGAATGCGGTTAAGTACAGGCAGATATGACATGTCTCGACACTTGATTGGGGATGGTGGATGTGGAGGTAACATTGGACCTCAAAGCTTTTGTCTAATAAATTAAGTCGATTAACATTCAGATAAAGCTTCTTTTTTTTTTTTCCCCATATTTGAATTTTTGTTTTCTTGTGCCAACAGAGCAACTACAATCATTGCTAGCTTTATTGTGACTACTTCGAAGCTGTTAGTTTGTTTATACCTTAGACAGCACACACCCATCAGAGGCATGCTTGCATGTTCATTGAAATGTCTCTGCAGATATGTATAATTCTGCTTAAATATGTGAATGTATGTCAATGAAGATGGAAATTTGTGTGTTTATTCCTGATCTCTGTGACCCCTTAACACACACAGTGCTGAAAAGTTCTTGGCTAGACCTACTTCCCAAAATCTGCCAAAACACAAGATTTGGCATTCTTTCTTGCTTAAACTGAAAGTATCTCAGCACCCCTCCATATGAAGTCAGACTATGAAAACATTCACCCTCCAAAAATTTCATCCTGGGTATGACAATAAACTACATCTGCGTCCAGGGTAAGGCGATAAACTACATCCAACAGCAAGGCCTCTGATCAGGAGGCTTTAAAGAGCGTGGAACTACCTCTTAATTGCTGGTGTTCCCAGGTCCACCCTGACGCAGGGTGGTAGCACCTGTTAGGGTCCCAGCTATGGGCAAATAGTTAACTCTGAAACTGAGGTACAAAAGCATTATAAAAGTGTAAAAATAGGTTTTAATACCAGAAATACTTTGTAAAAAAAATTATTACCAGAAATAAATTTTTGAAGAAAAAAAACTATTACCAGCAATATGTTTTTGAAAATAATATTACTAGCTATACATTTTTGAAAATATTACTACATTTTTACTTTGTGACCTTTTTGAAAAAGACAGATGTATGCACATATCATTAGGATATCAGACAAGTGAACCAAGAAAATGATTCTAGATTTTGGTGACCAGAAAATAATGCCATTTTATATTGATATATTTAAGAAAGATGACAGCAGTAATCACTTTGTGCATTGTCTCATTGCTAGTTATCTTTATATTGTCTTCTTAGGCTGGCTGCAATTTATGGTAAAAGAACAAGTCTTTGAAAGTTTATGCCGCTATTTTTTTTCTGTTTATGTATTACTACTATAAGAAGAATTAAGAGCATACTTGAAAACAACTGATTGCTAAATGTCTCCTTCAGATCCTGCTTTTATGTGTGTATGTCAAATGTCTGTGCTTGACAAAACCTCTTTTGTATTTATGCAGGCCTGTGTGCATACATACTATAGTCATCTTAATGTCTTCACCCTTATGGTGTATCATTGGTTTGTTTCCCAAGGCTCTCTATGTATATCAGCTTCAATTTACCAGGATATTTGTATTTAATGTATGAATGAATGTTGTGATATTGCATCTGATATGTGTTAATGTTTATACTCTCTCGCGCTTTTTCTCTCTCTCGCTCTTTTTCTCTCTCTCGCTCGCTCTTTTTCTAAATGCTTTTTTTTTTTTTTCTAACTCGCTTTTTCTTCTCTTTTCTTTTTCCTCTGCTCTTTTTTCTCTTTTCCTCTTTCTCTTTTTCTCTCTTTCTCTTTTCTCTCTCTCTTTTCCTCTCTTTTTTTTTTCTCTCTCTCTTTTCTCTCTCTCTCTCTCTTTTTCTTCTCTCTCTCTTTTTCTCTCTCTCTCTTTCTTCTCTCTCTTTTCTTCTCTCTTTCTCTCTTTTTCCTCTCTTTCTCTTTTTCTCTCTCTTCTTTCTCTCTTTTCCTCTCTTTCCTCTTTTTCTCTCTTTCCTCTCTCTCTTTTTCTCTCTCTCTTTCTCTTCTCTCTCTCTTCCTTTCTCTCTCTTTCTTTTCTCTCTCTCTCTCTCTCTCTCCTCTCTCTTTTTCTCTCTTCCTTTTTTTCTCTCTCTTCTTTTTTTCTCTCTCTCTTTTTTCTCTTCCTTTTTTCTCTCTTTTTTTCTCTCTCTTTTTTTCTCTCTCTTCTTTTTCTCTCTCTCCTTTTTCTCTCTCTCTCTTTTCTCTCTCTTCTTTTTCTCTCTCTTCTTTTTCTCTCTCTCTCTTTTTCTCTCTCTCTCTCTCTTCTTTTTTCTTTTTCTCTCTCTCTCTCTCTTTTTTCTCTCTCTCTCTTCTTTTTCTCTCTCTCTCTCTCTCTCTTTTTCTCTCTCTCTCTTCCTTTTTCTCTCTCTCTCTCTTCCTTCCTCTCTCTCTCTCTCTCCTTCTCTCTCTCTCTCTCTTCCTTCCTCTCTCTCTCTTCCTTCCTCTCCTCTCTTCCTTTCTCTCTCTCTCTTCTTTCTCTCTCTCTCTTCATTACCATATCAGAGGCAATGCTTTATTTATGGTGCTGTATAGTTTATCAAATTGTGAATTTGTTTTCAAGTCTCTATCTACAAATGTCTCATGTTACACATGCATGTAACCCTCCACCCCTGCCTATAGCTTTGTATGAATTTGCATATTTACATTTTTCATTTCTATTATACTCTTATATTTATGCATGCATTTATTTGCCAGTGTACACCTGCCTGCCTTTTCCCTTTCAATTGTTAGTGCATGCATGTGCATATCATTATCTGCTGGCTGTCATCCTTCATTGCCTACCAAAGTCCTGGCAATGCCAAGACAATCTATTTCAATCTTGATGCTGTCCTTTTCCATCTTCACTCCATTAAACTGTCTTTCCCAAGCTGATGTCCCACATTCCATTACCTCTGTCTCTTCCCATATTTCCATTATTGCTCTCCATTAGGTCTTTGCCATCCTGAAAACTTCTCCAATGCTGCCAAAGCCTTGACTTTCTTGTGACATTTTTTTTTTTCCATAATTCTTCCTACCAGTGAACCAGGAGATGACCATTTCATAATTAATTCTCCCTAGATTATATTCACGCTGAGAGACGGCATGAAAGAAAAAGGCTGAAAAGTCAGCACTAGATTTGGGCTTAACTATTTTTTGCTTCATTTTTAGTAGTTTAGTTTTCTTTCTTTCTTTTAATAACCTATATCTTTGTTTACATGATTATCAACTTGATAAATGAAGAAGCAAAAAATTGTAATGTGTCCTCCCAAAATCAAATAGTAAGTTTTTCTCTCCTACTTACCAATATTCCTTTGTTATGTTACCAAAACATGTTTACTTATTGGCTTTGAGTAATATCTCCTGTTACTATAACAGAATATCTCCTTCCTCAGAAGGGTCAAATTATTTACATTATTCGGACTATTGTCCTCATCTTTGTTGCCATATCTATTACGTTTTGGCCGTTGTATGCTCTGACCTTCAGGTTTATTTTGCTCACTGGGGTAGACTGTTCTAGTTCCATGTTTAATGGATGTCAGTTATCTCCTGTTAATTCCCCTCTCCATGTTCTCCACTGCCTTAACCTGGTATTAAACTCACACTCTTTGGGTCCTGTCACTGGATCTAACTAACGCCTTTATCCATTGTGCCATGTGTCCTTGAAGAAGTGAAGAAGGCCACCTGAAGAAGGCTGGAACATACAACAGCCGAAACGTTGTGATAAATATGGCGACAAAGATGAGGACAATAGTCCGAAATAATGTAAATAGTGTACATAATACCTCATATCAGAAATATAGACAGATACTAAAGTCAAATTGTTTTATATTAAAGAATAGATTAACAAGAATTATTATTTCTACAAGATAATGTTTACTGTTTTCATGGGATAATTATCTGGCTAAATGTTATTTATAGAAAGGTTTTATCTTCTTTTATTTTCATGTGAGTGTTATACCTTTTTTGTTTATTTATCATATTTTTCTATTCTATGACCTGTTTGGATTTATATTCTTGCTGCTTTTAATGCTGGAATCTGTACATTTTTTTCTTTTTGTATTCAGGTTTACAATTCTGCAGGATACTTTTTTTTTTTTTCTTAGAAATGGTTCTAAGTCTGTTTGTCAAGTATTGATCATTTATAAGTCTGATTGGGAGGAAAAACGTAGATCAACACTGGCAACTTTTCTTTGTACATTTGTTAAACTCTTCTTATGCCATTTTTTTCAGTTGTACAGTGTTTATTTGATTATTTTTTTTAAAACTCGACATAGGTACTCAGTATTGAACTTTATACTATCTTTGTTTTTTATCTACTTTTGTTAAGCAAAGTTATTCCTAAGTTCAACAAGCCAAAAAGTCTGTATTAGAAAATGTCATTTTGCTTATCCTTTTTTTTTAAAAGTCTTTATAAAGAAAAAAAAGGAATTATATCCATTAACATTATAGTTTATTTTTCAATAAATTTTCCTAAAGTTTTGCTTCTTTTTTTCTTTTTTTTTCTTTTTTAACTTCAAACATAAAAAAAAATTTGGTCCAATGTTTGTATTTTTATCTAACTGGTTAGAAAGAAAGAAAAAAAAAAAAGCTTTCTCTGTTTAAATCTTTAAAACATCTTTATTTTAGCACTATTGCATAAATTAATACAAAATTTGAATTAATCTTTATATGAATAAGACTGCAATTGCCTCACAATATAAGTTTGGATTATGAACCAAATAATTTTCTTTTTAAATTGTTATTACTTTCAGTGTCTATCACTTGAACCTCATTTGCTTAATAACCGATTAGAATCTTGTATGAATAAAACCTGGTATTTTGTAACTGCATTCTTTGATTCTTTATTGCTGGCGAACAAATACTAATTACAATTCGATCAGACTATAATTTCTGAAAAGGGTCAGGGTGGGTAGTAGACGAGCAGTTCATTTCCATATTGCTGACATGGACCCCAGTTGCTTCTGATATGAAACAGCATTGTTTAACAGATGCCAAGTCAACAGACTTTTTTCTTTTCACTAGAAGAACTCTGCTCCCAACTGGGAATTCAGATTGGGGTGGAAACCTATTTTAAGCTCTACTTTGAAGATGAAGAATAAGGTGAACAGGAAAAAGCAAAATAATATATTGCTTTCTTCAACATCAACTACAACACCCCACACACACCCCTCCACACACCCACGCACACCCACACTGCTGCCGCTGCTGCATCCTCATGCCTTCTCTTCTTTCTCTGAGAACCAATGCCAGAAGATACTGGAGTATTTGACTGTCAGTTGCCGTGGAAACCAGATAGCATTATGAGTAGGATGTTTCCTGTCATTGTTTCATCTCTTGTGAGAGACACTTGATGACCCAAGGCCAGATAAAGCTATTTGGCTTTTGGGAGTAGCAAGATGGCTGTGAAGATGAGATAGTTGGATCCATGGCATTTTGAGTTGTAATAAGTTCTAAATAAAGTAAGAAAAAGTTGAATCTTGGATTGCATTTCACTCACCTTAAATAAGCTCATGTGATTTCTTAAGTTAAGTTGTTGACTAATAAACCAAATGCGGTTGTTTGCACTGCAAGTTTAACTGGTCAGTCAGCAATACCATAATACAAGGTGGTGCTGAAAAGGTTTCATTCCAGACCAAACGATGGAACATTAGTGTTGTTTTTTTTATGTTTTTAACTCCATTCTTGTTTGGGCTAACTTTTCATTATCCCCTTACAATTCTTATTTGTTTTGTTCTTATTGGAACAAAATGTAGTTGTTGGTGTTAGTTCCACTGCTAAGAATATCTCCTTCCCAAATTTATAGACAAATCTTACAGATGCATGCTTGGATTTTTTCCTAACCAATAAAAATGAACCAATTCTCTGTTTCATCTGCCATATTCTTGTTCTTAAGTCAGAACGCTATAACCACTTGACTTTTTTTTGCATGTGAACACAGTTCTTACTTTGTGAACCTTTTGCCTTATTACTGTTGCTTTGCCTATTTTTGACTTGCATGCAGTTTGCTTTGTATTATTTTGCCCTGTTCTGTCTCTTCTCCTTTTCTTATTGTTTATTGGAAACTTTGTCAGTTCTGTTTCTTGAGCATTTTGCTAATTACACTTAACATGTAACCTACAGGGAATTTAATTCAGTTTGGAATTTCCTTTAGGTTACCTGGATCAATATACACCTGATGAAGGCCTGAGAGTACAACGGCTAAAACATTGTGATAATAAAGATGACAATAGTCCTAATGTAAATAGTGTAAATTCCTCATCCCAGAAATTCAGACAGTTCATTTATACAGATTGTCTTTTTTATGAAAAAATAATAATTATTATTTTGTTTCTTTCAGGGATATCCGAACCAGTCATACTATGCCATCTATGATGGTCATTCAGGAGTGGAAGCTGCTGTCTATGCTGTGACTCATCTTCATTGTAATTTGGTCAGGAGCCAATATTTTGCAACAGATGTCCATCATGCTCTGAAATCCAGTTACAAAGTCACCGATAAATGTTTTTTGGAAAAAAGTGCTCGGGAGGTGAGTTTGATTCCTTTGAAACAGCAGAATCGGATCTCTCAAAATAGTTGCTGATTAGGCCACTAATTTTATTGTATTAAATAAACTGTCAGCCTTATCAGATATTCTATTCAGGCATAAGACCACCTGGGACATTAACACTTCCAATGTTGCATTGTTATAGAATTGTTGCCTGGCTGCACTGGCCTGTTTAAAGAAAAATAGGAAATTGCTATTTACACAAAAGAAATGACTATAAAGTTTCACATGGGGACCACATTTTGGTTTTAGTTGAATATTCTGCAATACAGACTAAGCTAAATGACACACCTCCAATACACAATATAATATATGTAACCATGTATACCGTATTGTTTGCACCCATGCGATCGCATTGTTTGCACACGTACGTTTGAGACCGCATTGTTTGCATGCATACGTTTGCAATTGCATTGTTTGCGACCATACGTTTGCAATCGCATTGTTTGCGACTACATTGTTTGCACACGTACATTTGCAATCATATTGTATGCTACTCTGTCCACATGGTTAGCATAAATATCTAGCTAGTTTATAACGAATGTTAGGGACTAACATTTCATAATGTCTTGAAAATGCATTTATACACACTCGCTCACTTTGACAGCAGGCAATGTAAGTTTCCTAGAGGCGTATAAGTATAATCACAGCAATGGAAGTGTTAAAAGATGTCCTCTTGTACTTGAGACGATAACACATTCATCTCATTATAACAGCTCACAGTTCTTTTATTTAACAACAGTGGAAAAGTCTGTTAAAAACAATTTGCTCACCACATTTTCCAGTTAGTAAGCAAATATTCTGTACGAAAATGTGGTCAAATAAAAATGGTTTAGTTATTTACATTTTACATACAAATAATTTACAATTAAAACTAATTTCCTTTATACTTCATATAAACTTGGATGTTTTTTTTCATCTAATTATATGAAGAGGTTAATCTCAGGCATTTCAATTGTTGATTGATTTTGTTCTGATTGTAAAAGATTTAAGTCATGTTCAGTTTTGCAATGTCTCTATAAAATATTGATGCATAGGTCTTGTGTCTAAGTGACATCATTCAAGAGAATCACTGACTTCTTTTCCCTTGTCTTTCTTTCTTTCTTTTTTCTTTTCCCTCGTCTTTCTTTCTTTCTTTTTTCTCTTCCCTCGTCTTTCTTTCTTTCTTTTTTCTTTCTTTCTTTCTTTCTTTTTTCTTTTTCCTCGTCTTTCTTTCTTTCTTTCTTTTTTTTCTTTTTCTTTTCTTTCTTTTCCTTTTTCTTTCCCTTCTTTCTTTCTTTCTTTTTTCTTTCCCTCGTCTTTCTTTTCTTTCTTTCTTTTTTCTTTCCCTTTTTCTTTTTTCTTTTTTTTTCTTTTCTCGTCTTTTTCTTTCTTTTTTTTTTTCTTTTCCCTCGTCTTTCTTTCTTTCTTTTTTCTTTTTTCTTTCTTTCTTTCTTTCTTTTTTCTTTTCCCTCGTCTTTCTTTCTTTCTTTCTTTTTTCTTTTCCCTCGTCTTTCTTTCTTTCTTTCTTTTTTCTTTTCCCTCGTCTTTCTTTCTTTCTTTCTTTTTTCTTTTCCCTCGTCTTTCTTTCTTTCTTTTTTTTTTTCTTTTTCCCCTCTTTCTTTCTTTCTTTCTTTTCTTTTTTCTTTCTTTCTTTCTTTCTTTTTTCTTTTCCCTCGTCTTTCTTTCTTTCTTTCTTTTTTCTTTTCCCTCATCTTTCTTTCTTTTTTCTTTTTCCTCGTCTTTCTTTCTTTTCCTCTCTCCTCGTCTTTCTTTCTTTTCCTCTCTCCTCGTCTTTCTTTCTTTTCCTCTCTCCTCGTCTTTCTTTCTTTTCCTCTCTCCTCGTCTTTCTTTCTTTTCCTCTCTCCTCGTCTTTCTTTCTTTTCCTCTCTCCTCGTCTTTCTTTCTTTTCCTCTCTCCTCGTCTTTACTCTTGGTAGTAGATAGCATGTGTAAAAAAGAGAAGTAGATGTTACAGTTAACTGAAGTATCATTTATTATGCATGAGGCAAAGTTTTCAGAACATGATCATTACAAATGATGTGAGAAACTAATCTGTAGCTTAATTACCTGTCCTTGAGTAAAACTAAGTTTAGTTTTTGAAAATGTGACTAAATTGAATTATAAACCAAGACATTTTAAAGTATAACTCTGTCTTGAATGATTCATTAAGTTTCATTGTAATTATCATAGTGAATAAAAATTCCATTTCTCATCTAACCTGATCATGTATTGCAATTTTCTATTTACCAAGCAGACTGGACGAGAGACAAAGCCACTTCACAGGTTGAACCATCTGCACCCTGTCACCATTTTTTTGTCTGTCTGATTACATTTCATATCTAAAGCAACTGCAAGTGCATTTGTCGTGTGGCTATTGCTCTAAGAATTTAATTCTGCGTTCTCCTTTTAATTAGTTTAACATTCTGCGACAAAAGGCAATTACAATTTGACAAATGAATTTTTGTTTTGCCTTCCGGAAATTAATTACATTATCCATAATAATAGGCAATGGTATTTATTGATATTAATATAAAACTTGTTTTTATTATAATTGCTATTTTCTTTAGTTGCAACTCGTATCAGAAATAATGATTAATGGTCACTCGGAGATAAGATTTGATATCCATCACCCCTTTTATAAATCGGATAGGGTTAAGCTCCTGAGACAGCCCACTTCCCAAAATCAGTAAGCTGATGTTTGATTGTTGAAATACTGATTTTCGAAAGTGGGTCAGAAGTTTTCAGCATTTTAAGGTATGCTGTATTTATGGATAAGTGCTCAATATCATATGAAAGTGGGTACTGAGATCATGACCAAGTGTTTACAGGATTTCATGCTTGGCCTGAAGATTGCATTCAAGCATGAAACCCTGTCACCAGATAGAACACGATCTTCTGGCCAATCATGAAACAGATTGTCGCCACTTGGTGTTGACCTCAGTATCCACTTATATATGACTTTCATTTTTATCAAAACAAACGTTATTCTTAGTGAGTAGACATCTGATTTTTATCAAACAGTGAAACTGATTACTACTGGCATAGAACTGTGTAAAAACTGCACCTCTCAGCAAGAATTGAACTTGCGTTTCCTTTTGTCTCGGGGAAACCACCTTGTAGCTAGATGTGCTTTGACTGTCATCTCCACAATAGCACCTACAGAAAAGCATGGTTCAGTTACCCATTTTAAGAAACTTAGATCTCTTGTTGAGATATTTAAAAGTCCATATCTGCTGTTAGCTTTAACTTGAAAATAGTGTCAGACTGAATATGGTTTTGTAAATGATCCCTTTTGGGTTCATAGCTTCTTCTTTAAATTCCTGAATGTTTGATTCGTATATTTCTCATGATTTTTTTTTTTTTTTTTTTTTTTTTTGATGGTATTGTAAATTCCTGATTCAGTTTTTTTCTTTTGAATTAAGAATACAAAATTATATTTAAGAATACAAACTGTTGTGATTAGAATTTGTTTTTGAACTCTATCATTGTAAATGCAGAAAAGGATTCTTATGTGAATGACCAACAGAGGTTTATTGTGTATATAAAAATGATTTCGATTTTGAGAGGCACTTAAAGTGTACGGTATATTTTCTTACGTTCTTACACTGTATCATTGTTAATTTAATTATTTCTCTTGTTTGCAGAGTTTAAAAAGTGGTACAACAGGTATTAATGCCTTGATCAGAGGTTCTACAGTGTACATAGGTTGGTTGGGAGATTCTCAGGCTGTACTTGTACGCAATGGCCAGGTGATCAACTTGACTAAACCACATACTCCAGAAAGAGAAGTAAGTCAACTATTTATTACCCACTTTGTCTTGTGATGGAAGAGCAAAATTGTTGTTGGTGTTAGCAACAATATCTGCACTCATGATTATTGGACATTGCTTGAGAACCAGAATGTTTTCTTTTAGTATTGTAATCTTTCAAGTATAAATGTTTAACAATAATCATGGTCCAAAGACTTTTGATACAGACTTCTTCAACTGAAGATGGAGGAAAAAGTTTTAGATATTAAGTCTTTGGAAAAATTTCTAAAACACATACACCTTCTTCTACCTACAAAAAGGTTTATAGCCATATCATGGAGAAATACCAGTTCCTCATACGATCACTAAAGTTCAGCCATGCTGAAACTGGTCATTACCTAGATGGGTGACCACTTGGGGCTACCAGGTGCTGTAAGCGTGGATGTGCAGCTGGTGTAATGGATAACAGCTTACAATTTGAAATCAGAGTACTGAGCTCCAATTCCAGTTGAGTTTGTTACATTCACTTATGCACAAATAACCCTGGGAAAGGCATGAATCCACCTATTCTCCCATTCCCAGTTATTGGTTAATTAGTAGGACTTGTATCAGTAGATACTTGGTAGGACTTGTATCAGTAGATACTTGGTAGGACTTGTATCAGTAGATACTTGGTAGGACTTGTATCAGTAGATACTTGGTAGGACTTGTATCAGTAGATACTTGGTAGGACTTGTATCAGTAGATACTTAGTAGGACTTGTATCAGTAGATACTTGGTAGGACTTGTATCAGTAGATACTTGGTAGGACTTGTATCAGTAGATACTTGGTAGGACTTGTATCAGTAGATACTTGGTAGGACTTGTATCAGTAGATACTTGGTAGGACTTGTATCAGTAAATAATTATCTCCCCAAAATTCTGAAAATGTAAAAATATTTTCTGGTTTTAAATAACCTGCAAAAGGTTGATATGCCGTAAAAAAACAAATATTCATTTTTAACATTGTCACCTGGGAAAGACGAGTCAAAATATATGGTGCGGCAGGAATATCTTCCAATTATATGTGAGCTGTTTCTGGCAAACTCTATATATCATTGGAAGTTATGTAATATGAAAAAAATAATTTTATGGGTTAAAGTGCTCATTATCAGGAACAGTGTATGTTAATGTAAAACTGGATACCGAGATCAACACTTTTCATGCTTGAATACAATCATGGTCTGAGTATTGCACTCAAGCATGAAATACTATCACCAATAGATGTTGATTTCAGTGTTCACAAATAATATATGCACACACATACAGGGTGCAAGGAGTAAATTGTCGCCATTTTATATTTTTCATTTTGCACATATGCATTGTTTGTTTTTGATTTTGTCAACTGCACAGTATAGTAGGGTCAGTTGGGCACCATCTGGCAGAAAAAGAGCACCATGGCATAATTCACTTCATCAGTAATTTGGAAATGGCATACTGTACTGCTTGGCATTCAAACCGGGAGCTCCTATATGAATATTTCAGAGTGTTTGGGTGTCTATCTGAGGAGCATGCAGAGGATTCAGAAAGAGTTGGATGAGTCTAATGGTGATTACGAAGGTACAGCAGCTCAGAAAACTCACTCTGATTGTTCTGATAAGCAAAGAACTCCAGAATTTGTTCGTGATGGATTCCGACTCAACACTAGGGACTACATCAAGTACCTTGGGGAGGTAATGCTGCCATGGGTCAAGAGGGTGGCTGCTGGAAGACCCTATATCTGGCAACTGGACTTTACACCATGCCACACAAGCAGGAGAACCCAGTCATGGCTGTCTAACTCGTCAGATTTCAACCCCTTTGATTATTATGCATGGGGCGCAGTTGAGCAAAAGACCAACAAAGCATCTTGTAACACCAAAGATGAACTAAAGGCAAGGATTATGGCAGCATTCACCAACTTAAACACGGAGACCATCCAAAGAGTTGCAGGAGATTATGGAGTTGTCTGGAGGCCATGGTCGAAACCAATGATGATTTTATTGAAAAAATATCTTCAAATGCTAAAGAGTAAATTTATTGTGTAATTTTGGTAAATATCTGTTAAAATGAGATGTCAGTGTTATTTTCATTTTTGTGTAATTTAGACGATAATTTATCCATCGCATCGTGCGCACACACACACGTGTGTGTGTGTGTGTGTCTGTGTATATAAAATTAGAGAGAGATGCAAAAATGTTCACTTACCTCAGTTTGCATTTTACTATCATGGCCCCTGATGAGTGAATGCTATCTCCACTAATCTCAGAGTAAACAGAAAAGTGAACATTCAATTTTATTTATTACTATTAATGCTTTATCTTTTGATACTGACCAGTTTAATTACAAAGATTGCTTACCTTTTAAAAAAAAAAAAAAACTTTAAGAAATACTCTGGTCAGCCATTTTTATTTTCTTTAATTTTTTTATTTTTTGCAATTTTCAAAACAATTTTTGGTTTATATTCTAAACTTAAATTTTAGTTGTTTTTTCATAAAGGTTTTTTCTTTGCTTTTTTTAAAATTCTTCCCCATATAAAGAAAAAAATTAATTGGTATGAGTTTTAACTTAAAAAAAAAAAATTTTATTTAAATTTTTTTCATTTTTAATGTTTTGTTTCTTCTCTCCCACTTAGGATGAGAAACGTAGGATTGAGGATCTTGGGGGTATTGTGTTGTTGGTGAATGGAGTGAGTCGGGTTAATGGCAACATTTCTGTATCAAGAGCAATTGGTAAGTTGTCAACCTTTTCACAAAAGATGCTGACAAATTCTTCATTTTTCGTTTTACAATGTCTTCTTGTAAAATAGATTTGTACTCAAAATGGTGAAAGAAAAAATGAATGAAGCAACAATACTTTTGACCAAGTAACTTTCTGTTAGAAATTAAGTTTTCAAGTTTCTTACATGAAGCATTCTATTAACATTTGACAGAGATTTTTCATTTTGTCATAACTATCAGATGATTAATAGAAACAGATTTTTTTTCTGTGCAAAAAATATATTCACTATTTACATTATTTGGACTATTGTCCTCATCTTTGTCGCCATATTTATTGCAACGTTTCGGCCGTTGTACACTTCGGCCTTCTTCAGGTGGTGGGAATGTTGAACTGAACCCTTTATTTCACTCTGTTCTAGTTCCACGTACCATGTTTAATGGATGTCAGTTATCAGTTATCTCCTGTTAATTTCCCTCTGAAAGTTCTCCACTGCCTTAACTGGGCATTGAACTCACACACTTTGGATCCTGTCATTGGATCTAACTAACACCTTTATCCACTGTGCCATGTATCTTCTTTTTCTTTTTCTTTTTTCTTTTCCCACTACTTTTTTATTTTAAATGTCATGTTCCTTCAGGACATAAGTAATCATGGCTCTTCTTAGTCTACTTTTCCTTTATCATTTGTGAATTGCCATGACTTCTTAAGCAAAAAACATTGTTTCCCATTGCCTTCTCCACTGATTTGAATTCTGTTATCTATCTCCTAGACTGGCTACTGTCCAAGGCTTAAAAACCTGTTTTTCTGCACTGTTATTTATTGGTGGGAAAAGAGATAAATTCCTGCCTTTCCCAAGGGCATTTCTTCTAAAGTGAAAACAGGCTAACCTGGAATTTGAACTCAACTGGCTGTTTCCCCTATATCTGCAGATAATTGTTATGTGCCTCACACAGCCATCTGATAGACTGAAATTAGTAATATAAGGTGCAGCAGGAATACCTCCCATACAATCATAAGAGATTGTAGACACTGGTGTCTTCATCTAGCTAATGCCTTACCATTATATGGGAGCTATTTCTACTGCACTGTATAATAATTATAACATTAAGAATAAATGAAAAATATTATTATTATAATGATAATAATAATAATACAGTTATTTTACTCCTAATCCCTTTTATCATAAGGAGAAGGTGATGTTACAGTTGATCTCAAATGACAGAGAAAAAAAGGCCAACAAACTTTGTTAGATGTTTACTTCTTTGTTTTTGACACAATAGCAATTTGAATAGAATTTAATAACTGTTGAATACTGAATTGAATAATTAAATGAAAGTTGGTAATGAACGATTATACTTAGTGCAAGAACAACAAATATAAGATTCACCAACAGCGCATAGAAGTAGTAGTCAACTGCTAGAAGTAAGTCAAGTGAATACCACAATGAATCTCTAACTCTAGACTAACATACAGTATTCACTACTTTATTTATGGGAATGAGGGGCATACTGCAACAATAACCAAATGCACCCTGATTATAAACAGGATGAAAAATCAATTAAAAACATAATTCACTGGTGCAATATCACTCAATGATCATAACAAACACATTTATCATCATCTACTAAAAGTTTAAAACATCTAACTTAACTTTTACCATACTGCAGGTGACAATAGTTGCTGTAAAGTTCTCTCCCTTTGCTACTCTAGGTGTATTCTGTCACCTTGAGATGGTTGCTATAAACACTTGTCAACTGTTATTTCCTTTGGACAACATCAGCGACGTGAAGAGGAGAGTAGTAGTAGTATTCTTATTCTTCTTTTTATTCTTATTCTTCTTATTCTTCTCTTCCAGGTGATGCCAGTCAGAAGCCATGCATAAGCAGCGATGCAGATGTTGTTTCATTTGAACTTGATGGTTCTGAAGATTACATGGTACTAGCCTGTGACGGTGCCTGGGACTGTATTTGCAAAGAGAACCTTCCCCATATCATTTATGACCATGTGCAAAAGAACAATGGTCAGTGCTCAACTGTGGCTGAACTGCTGGTCAAATTTGCCAGTGAGAATGGTTCTACAGACAACATCTCGGTGATTGTGGTTTTTTTCAAAGAGATTTTACCTGAGCCCAAGCTGGGACGGCATGAAATAATCAAAGAAAATGGAGAGAATAAGAAGCATGACCATAATCCCAACAGGAATTCCGGTGGTGATGCATCTTCCTCCTCTCAGGGTAGAAATCTCGGTGACCTGAACAGTGGTTTCAGAAAGCCGGATAAGGGTTCAAAATTCTGTGGCAGTGAGAAGCTGATACCTTGCTTTGGTGGCGGTCAAACTAGTGAAGTCCAGATTCCAGAAGCTACAGTGCCTACAAGCTGTAAATCCAAAAATGATATCCTACCCACGAATGCGAAAAAGTCTGAAATGCAACAAGGATATTATTCTTTTTCCACATCTAAATCAAACTGTTCAAAACTTTTGGAGAGCAAGATTTCAGAAGTACAAACAGAATTGATGCACTGGTTTATGCCTGAAGCTTTGAAACGCCACTGGACACAGTTGGGTGGTCGAGGTTTTATCGATAGTCCAATCTGTGGTCAGCTTACATGTGTGTGCCTGCAGAATATTTGTAAAGCCGTGTTGTCATCTAAAATTGTCGGAGCCTCTGAATGCTATTTGTGTGAATTGGGGACGGTTCATTGGCCAGCCTTTGATGCTGAGGGTCTTCAAAGGGCTTTTTGTTCGTTATCATCATCCTCACAATTGTTAGACTCCTCTTTCTCAACTCCTACCTCAGTTCACGCTTTCATCTCATCAGACGTGACCATGGTTTCCACCTCCAACCCGTTCTCATCGTCATTTCTTCTTCGATTATGTCCCAGGCATCTGATCTTATCATCCGCCTGTCATTCATCTCTCATCTCCAAGTTAGCAGCCTGCTCCAGTGTTTTCTCAGCATGGTGCCTACTTCATCACCCACACAGTGTGCCCAACAACTTTGCATCTGGCCCATGGGCTGATACTGTGGGGTCGACATGTCCAGTCATGCTTAGTGCCACATCATGACACCCCTAGGTCATTTATTAATAATGGCAGGCAGTAGGCTGACCGATTGATGACCGGTGGTATCTGCATGTAAACAGGGTCATGTAAATCAGTTCCACCATTTGCAGTCTGGTATGAAATCCATCCTAGTTGTTAGAGAATACATTTTCTGTTAAACATGTTTTTTCCCTTTTTAAAAGTAAAAAGAAAAAATATTTAACTTTAACATTTTTTGAAGACCTGTTTGTTTCTATTTAAATTAAAGAAAAAAAAATATTATTCAAAACAGGAGATTTAATGAGAAAGGAAAACTGTCCTGTAAATTAACCAGGTATGCATGTATTGTGTGAGTGAAACTGCATGTGTATAAGCTTGTGTGTGTGTGCGGTTCTTAATTATGTGTATTCTGTTCCAAAATACTGCTCTGTCACTCAGAGAATGGGTCCAAAGTTCTTGAAAATAGCTTCCCCTCTCCCTAAAAAAGAAAAAAAAGGGGGCTAATATTCTACATTACTTGTCACTGGCAGCTCATATTAGAACTTGAAGTGCCAAGTATAAAAAAACATTACTTGAGTTACTTGCATTATTTGTAATTATTTTCATATTCTGAAAGAAGTTTGGTTTATAGATAACTCAAAGATAAACTCATCTTGGGTATAGTTCCTAAAGCTATGGAAGCCATTTTACATTTTTCCAATTTCTTTCTATAAGATTAAAGTTCAGAACTATCAGTTTTAAGTATCAATTTTGTAGATAGAACACCGATTTCAAACTTCTATCAAACAAACTTTTCTTTTTGGCAACTAATTAATTTATTTGGTCGTGCTAACTTGGACATTCATGAACCTATCACAACAACTATCAGTCCTGCATCATCAATAGTGAGGTATTCTGTGTCATAACATAGCTGGCCAATGTAGGTGGTTGCTGGGCAACCAACTTGTCTTGCTCTGTGGCTAGGTCTCCAGTTTTTGTTTTTCTTGCCAACAGTGTCCTGCATTTGCGTAAGGTAGAAATATCAGGAATGGGTCCATAGAGCTGTGATTTAGTTGGATGCTGTCTCCAAGAGATGTTAAGTAAAGCTCTCAGCATCTGAGTGTAGGTTCCATCAAGCTTAGACTCTAGGGTTTTAGTTAATGTTCAAGCAGTGGCATCAGACTACAGTGGCTCAAAAGTATTTCTGCTTAAGGTTGAATCTGGACATCTGATCTGCCAGACAACTAAGTTAGAATTCCTAAATTCATATAAAATTGTGACTTGACATTTTGTTAAATTTTTTATATTTAGAATTTTATTCTAAAGAAATTATACAAAATTCTTTTACTTCTAAAATGAAAACTTAAAGCATGTTAATTTCTCTGTGTATGGGAGTAATTCATTAAATGAAAATTTCATTACCCTATGGTGATTATCATAAAAGCTGTGAAATGTATTTCCATCATCAGCATCTATCAAGTGATGAATGTAATTGTAGCAGATGTCATTGCAAGCATTAAATATTTATTACATTTACCAATTGCTCATGTAAGATAAATAAATATATATATATATATAATCCAATTGATCTTATATTTGTAAATATTTTTTGTACCGATTGAAAGCTTGATATTATATATAAATAAGAAACTTTGACTATATATAATTATTTAATTTATTTAAAACATAATATTTATTGAAACTAGAATTAAAACTAATCCAATAACAAGAATTCATAATATTTTAAGTATGAATATGAGTTTTAATGAGTGACTGTTCAATAAATTCATAACATAAATAACACAATATTTGTGAGTTTTTATATATATATATATATAAGGAAAATTAATGACAAAGTAAACAATTTTTGTGTGGCCGATTCTTTGAACTAAAATGATTTTATTTTTTTGTTGATGTAACTATGCATGCACAAAGGTTAGGAGACACTGAAATTTTAAACTTAGATTTTTTTTTTTTTCTTTTGTAAGATGTGTTTGGGTATATAGTCTAGCCACTTATTACATTTTTTGTTTGTTTTTATCCCTTTTGTTATTAAGTATACTACATTGTGAGAAAAGTGAAATGTAAGAACCTGGGCACAAATTTACCATGAATGATTTAGCAATTAAAGCACTATATATATATGTAAAGATAGGTATAAGCATTGGATGGCAACAGTTCTTCATACTTAGGCATAATTGTCAGACCTTGTAATGTCAATAGTCACACCTCTGATGACACGGCCACCCATTATTGATACCTAGCTTGATACTACTTTTTATATATATATATATATAATGACAAGGTTTCATTCCAAGCAAAATAGAACTTCTTCAGACTAATGTTTTTATTGATGAAATGAAGGTGGGAATAGAAATAAAACAAATGGTGGTTACAGTTTACACCAAGACATAAAGCCGCAAACTCACTTGGCTTTAAAGTTTGACAACCACTATATAGATGTTTAACTTTATTGTTTTTAGTTATTCCACATTGTATTAACAGTCCTTTTATGAGAAAGGGAGAGATGTTCTATGATCCTGGATGTAAATGTGCCATAAAGGATTCCATAATTCATGCACTTAAAATACATCAGGCAATATAAATTGAAAATGTATATTTTAACATTTCAATGCAAACTGTAACTGGTATTTGGTGTCTCCATCTCTCTAATTTTTTTTTATATATAGGACTGATAGAATCAATAAAACATTTAGTCTGAAATTTCTTTCTTGGAACAAAATTTGTCATGTATATTTTGCTATTCACATACCAAACATTAATCTGAAGTATATCATATCTTTCACACGCACACGTGTGTGTATATGTATGTATGTATATATATATATATATATATATATATATATATATATATATATATATATATATATATATATGTGCATATATATGCCTGATTGAATAAATTAGAAATGTCTTACATCTGCTTGATAAAAAAATAATCAGACATGCCTAAAAGAGAATTTTTCTATATATATATATATATATATATATATATATATTATTTCCTAAAATGTAATGTATTAGTTTCATTTATTAATCTGACAGTTTTTTTTTTATTCACTAAAATAACATTTGAAATGATAAATATATTTTCAGTGAAAATAGCTGAGTCGCTTGTATTTTCTTTTACTAATTTGATAAATGGTTACCTTTTAATATCTATAATTAACCAGTTGCTTTTTTATGCTATGTTATATTTACCTAATTATTAAATACTCGTAAAGTAATTACATTGTTCTCGTAACTCAAGTATATTTCACTCAAAGCACTTCTTGCAGTTCTATGGTACCAAGAATAAAATTTAAGTTTCCATTCCAAAGGTTGTTAAAAATGTTGAATTTTATAAAGAGAAGAATTTATTGATTTCACACACATGTGCATATATATATATATATATACCAAATATGTTAGCTCTATCTCTGATATTGAGCGCTTTCTAATAAGTACCGCGCATATAATATATAAATAATTATACATATATATATATTTATTTATATTTATATTCACTTTTCACATATATATATATATATATATATAATTTGTGTGTTCAGAAATCAATTTTGTTTTTAAAAAATTTAAAGTTGTTTACAGTTGAATTTTCTGGTACAGCTCTGGATATAGCTATCATTGAAGGCTGACAAGTCTTAGATCCCATCCCCGGTGCCAAGTCAGTGACACCTGTTACCACAGGTAAAAAAAAAATAAATAAATAAATAAAAACAGTAAGAGTTTTCTCCTAGGCAACCCAGCTTAACGTTTATAAAAGTTGCAATAATAACTGGGTGTAAATATATTGCTGCTATTTATATATATATATATATAATACATATATATATATATATATATATAAAATATTTTTTTTAACACTTCCCTCCTATGTTGTTTCACGGAAATCATTTTCAAAGAGCTTTGAACACTGAATTGTTGAGAATCTAAGCTTCTACTTGCAAATACCAAATGCACGCACATAAATACACACAGCAGATGCACTAAGATGTTTTACATGAAGAAATTAACATTCTAATTCTGATGATAAAGACTGGGGATCTCTTTAATATTTTTTTTTTATGAAGGAAAAAAGGGGTTTATCTATTGGGAAGATATTTGGTAAAATTTTAGTATATACATTTGTTGGTGGTTTCCCCTTCTTCTCATCCAAAGTCAAAAATTAATCCGTTTCAACATCCTTTTCATTTGCATAATTTTTTTTTTCTTTCATTTTTTCATTACTCTTTAACTTTCATTATTGATTAACATTATTTTTTTTAATGCACACAATCAAAATATTTATTTGATGATGAGTATCAGCAGGTTTTTAGTTTCCTGCTTTCAAAAAGAATTCATTGTGTATTGTTATTTTTGCTCACTGTTTCTTGTATAGCTAGACTTGTCCTCTTAATGCAAACAGACAAAATGTAACCATATATATACAAGTATTTATAATCCCTCACTTACATTGGCATACAGTCTTAGAGGTTCATATTCAGTTCTACCAGCATATATATATATATATATATATATATATATATATATATATATATGCAAATACCTAGGTTTATCTATATGTGCAATTTTTGTGCATATGTGTAGGAATGTACAAATTTTTTTTAAAAATTGTATATTTATGTATACATTGTTCACAAGCCCAAATAAAATGCATTTTACATGCACATGTAATAGAAAATGTATATTTGGCAGAAGCAGCTGAAATTGAGAGACAGATAACAAAAAGGGCATTGGCTGTATAATTTTCCCGCCATCTCAGCGTAAAACCTGTAAGGGCCAAGGAACATTTGTTTTCAGCACACACACACACACACACACACATTTGAAAGTTGAAAGCAATTGTTTATATTTAAATATTGAATTTGCAATATTGTTTGTAGATTTCTACATACAAACACATGTTGATATAAAGTTATTTACATCTATTATTATATCCATGTAGAATTTAGCAAACTGTTAACATTTATTAGTAAGTATGCCAGCATAATATTACACTCTTGTCTTACCTGAATAATAAT